TGGTTGTGGGGGTGCAAGGGGTGACTTATCGAATCTGAAAGCTCTCTTTAACAAGAGGGCCCCCAGATCCCAGCTCCCCCCATGTTGAATGAGTATGGGGTACATAGTACCCTTACTCATTCACCAAAAAAACTAAACTAAACTAAACCAATTCTAAAATCAAATAACAAAACAAAATTAGACATAGAGATGTCTGGTGGAAACTGGGAAGTGTTCAGCTGTTCTTTGACACTGCGAGTACTGACCTGAGCTCAAGATTCTGGTAACTGTGTGCTGTTTTCAGTGATAAGTGCCAATAGTAACCTCTCCCTGAGATGGCTCTTATATGGTCTCTGTTCTGGCCATTCCCCTTTGTCCCTGGCATAAAGACTGTTCAGAGATGCCTAGCCTAGTGTCCTCTTACTAATCAGTGTTTTTGGAGCAGGGGCGGACTGACCATTTGGAAACTCGGGCACTGCCCGAGGGCCCGGGGTCAGTAGGGGGTCCCATGAGATGCCCCTGGTACCTTTTTCATAGGCTTTTTTGAGTTTGGGCAAGGACACAGGGGCTCCATGATCCCCTATTGCCTGGGGGCCCCATGAGTTGTCAGTCTGCCCATTTTGGAGTATCCCATGCCACCCTGCCCTAATCCCTCTTCTGTTACAAGTTCTTCAATAATAAATTTTAAAAAAAGACAGCCGCTAGACTCTTTACCGGAGCCAGAACTAATGGATTTGTGCTTGGATGACTGGTGGCCTCTGCACTGTTTGGGGAAGAACCAGTTAATTTCAGCAAGCCTTGTGGGGGTAGCGGTACATATATATTTGCAGAAATAGGAATGAAAGGCTTGATATGCTGAAATATTCCCACCCATGGACTTTAAAACTCCTTTGAAAAGAGTTGCTGCTGGGAAGGAATGGACAAAGTAAAAGCAATACAGTAAACCCATGTGACATATGACACATACTGTATATAACTATGTGGCATTGTAACATTATTGTACAATACAATAATGTATTGAGTACAATTTCACTTTTCTAACAAGAATGCAAATTCTCCCTTCCTAGCCCCTTAACTAATCTAATCCAAACAACATTTCCCAGTGCCCACTTACCTTCTTATGGTGGAAATCCACAGTGTTTATATCCTAGGTGCAAAAAATCTGACACTGTTCATGCCAACGGACAGAGCCATTCTTCTTCAATATAGATGCTATGAATATGGCTCTATTCAAGTTTATAAGGAGTTTAAATGCAAGCATGACCAGCTCCAGAGGAGATTTATGCACCCAGATGACCACTGCCACCATGGAGAAGTACTGTAAGTACCCTTTGGAGGGATGGAGTTGTGGGTTAGATTGGCTTAGATGGCAATAGAAGGAGGAGATAGGGATTTTTGTTTGAAAAATGTAGTTATCCTGAGGGTCAAGAACATCATAAACATTACACAAGCAAGTGCAAGACAAAAAAACACCCACCATTGTTATTTTTTTTATATACAATTTTATTCTTTAAATATCAAGCATACACTTTATATACAATAAATTAGACATTTCATACAATGACCTCAATGACAAACAACAATCAATAAAAAGGATTTAACATAAACCATCTTTATGTACATAGATATTAATTTACATTTCACAAATGAGTACAAGCTACAAGTGCAATTAATATATGCAAAGTTCCTGCATTGGTCTATCAATGGCCATGTGATCTTGTTGAAGCAATACTTGTATGACCAAATTCTAATACATTCTACATTGATACAGTCATGGCCAAAAATATTGGCACCCCTGCATTTCGGTCAGATAATGCACCACTTCGACCAGAAAATTGTTGCAATTACAAATGTTTAGGCATTCTCATATTTATTTCTTTTGTTTGTATTTGTATGACACAAACAAGTGGAGAAACAAAAAGCCAAACCTGATACATTCCACGCGAAACCCCGAAAATGGACTGGACAAAATGATTGGCACCTTCTCAAAACTGTATTAATTTAATTCCAAGTTTGTCATGCTCCTGTAATTTGTAATTAAACTCACCTGTATCAATTAACAGGTGCTGACAATATAGAAATCACACTGGCAACCAGTTAAAATGGTGAAAAATTGACTCAACCTTTCTGTTGTGTCTCTCCTTGTGCTGCATCGAGAAGCGAAAGAGCAGCAAAGAATTGTCTGAGTATTTGAGAACAAAAATTGTGGAAAAGCATGGACAATCTCAAGGTGACAAGTCCATCTCCAGAGATCTTAATGTTCCTGTGTTCACTGTGTGCAAAATTGTCAAGAAGTTAACAGCCCATGGCACTGTAGCTAATCTCTCTAGACGTGGATGAAAGAGAAAAATTGACCAAAGATTGCAAGAAAGGATTGTTTGAATGGTGGCTAAAGAACCTCGATCAACATCCACACAAATTCAAGCTGAACTTCAGGCACAGGGTACAACTGTGTCAACTAGCACTATACATCGCCATCTGAATGAAAAGGGACACTATGGTAGGAGACCTAGGAGGACCCCACCGCTGACACAGAAACATAAGAAAGCCAGATTGGATTTGGATTTGCCAAAACTTACTTGAGGAAGCCAAAATCCTTTTGGGAGAATGTGCTGTGGATAGGAGAAAAAGTTAAAACTTTTTGGTAAAACCCATCTGTTTTCAGAAAAAGCAATGAGGCCTTTAATGAAAATAATTCAGTCCCTACAGTCAACAATGGTGGAGGTTCACTAATGTTTTAGGGTTGCTTTGCTGCTTCAGGCACTGGATGTCTTGACCGTGTGCATAGCATTATGAATTCTGAAGACTACCAAAGAATTCTGGGGTGCAGTGTAGGGTCCAGTGTCAGAAAGTTGCATCTCCATCAGAGGTCATGGGTCTTACAGCAGGACAATGAACCAAAGCACATGTTAAAAAGCACCCAGAAATGGTTTCAGACAAAGCTCTGAAGAGTACTGAACTGGCCCGCAATGAGTCCAGATCTCAATCCCATAGAGCACTTGTGGAGAGATCTCAAAGCAAGCAGTTGAGAAAAGGAACCCTTCCAATCTGAGAGACCTGGAGCAGTTGGCGAAAGAAGAGTGGTCCAAAATTCCAGTAGAGGTGTAAGAAACACATTGATGGTTACAGGAAGCAAATGATTTTATTATTATTATTATACAGGATTTATATAGTGCCAACAGTTTGCGCAGCACTTTACAATATAAGGGAGACAGTACAATTACAATACATTTCAGTACAGAAGGAATATGAGGGCCCTGCTCGTGGAGCTTACAATCTAAAGGAAGGGGGAGATGATACAAAAGGTGATAGCTACGTGGGATGATCTGGTGGAGGTGATTCAAGTACAGTTCTTAGGTGGAGGTGATTTCAGTTATTTTTTCCAAGGGGTGTGCTACCAAATATTAAATTGAGGGTGCCAATCATTTTGTCCAGTCCATTTTTGGAGTTTTGCATAGAATGTGTCAGATTTGGCTTTTTGTTTCTCTGTTTTTTTTGTGTCATACCAATACAAAAGAAATAAACATGAGAATGCCAAAACATTTGTGATTGCAACAATTTTCTGGGTGAAGTAGTGCATTATCTAACAGAAATGCAGGGATGCCAATATTTTTGGCCATGACTGTATCTGCAGAGAGGATGACACATGCAGCTTACTAGCTGTGTGCATCAAGCTATTTGTGTTGTGCTGATGCTAGTGAGCCCATATCAGTGCTGTACTGGACTAAAAATGAAAAGTTGCTATGACATTTACTGGCCATTACACAAGATAAGACTTTTCCTAAAGTACAAAACAATGCACATTGATCTGCCAGAAATGCAGTGAACTCAAAACTTCCTGTTTGTCTCTGCTGCACTAAAATCTTAGGCAGTGTTGTCAGTCTAGTTATGTTCTGCTGGACTACAGAATACCCTCCTTTATATTACAATGATGAGGAGAGAGGGAGGTGTTCTGTATCCAGCAGAAGACAAGTGAGCAGAGTTGACAACACTGCTTGAGAGTTCAGTGCAGCAAGGGCCCTGTGTTGTCAGCTCTATCAGGTACTTTGAAGCTCACTGGATTTCAAGCAGATCGAGAGGTATGTTAGAAGACACATACTTAATATGTTTTTCTTAAAATCTGCTAAGACATAAACATTAAAGGAAAATGTCAAAAGCAACATATATGGGCTGCCATGCTGATTTTTCCAAAATACTGGTGCAAACCTTTTGATCTGCTTATTTCCTCTAGGTCAACAATTCAAAGTTTTGAGACCAGGGGATCAGCATGATAAAAGGATCTCAACAGTGGCAGTTCATGTATTCGCTTGTGATGTTTTCTACAAGCAGTCTTCAAAAAGTTTCCGCACTTTTTTAAACTCTGTTTATTAAGATGTTAAAAAAACAATGTGTAATGGCTCTTATTATACTAAACTGCAAGGTCAGCCAGTTTGCCAGACAGATTAGTCACATAACTCTCTTAGATACAACCAATTACTACTCCTCCCATCCTCACTGTTTCCAATGAAAATATAAAAGTGTGGAAAATGTTTGAAGTGATTGTTATGTGTTTTATAAACTGATGATCATTCCCTTTTTTTTTCCATTTAAGAATTTAACCACTTGTTCTCCAGAGGATTTACCCCTCTTCCTGACCAGGCCATTTTTTGCGTTACTGCGCTGTGTTACTTTAACTGACAATTGCGCGGTCATGCAATGTTGTCCATAAATGAGATTTATGTCCTTTTTTTCTCACAAATAGAGCTTTCTTTTGGTGGTATTTGATCACCCGTGCATTTTTAATTTTTTGTGCTATGAACAAAAAAAGGACGACAATTTAAAACAAAAAAACAGTATTTTTGACTTTTTGTTATTAAACACGTTCAATAAAAAAATTAAAAAAAATCAAATTTAGTCATAATCCCAATATGTGTAAATTAATTGGTTTACGTGAAAGTTATAGCGTCTACAAATGGTGATATAGATACTGGAGGTTTTTTTTTAAAATTTTTGTTTTACTAGCAATGGAGGTGATCAGCGACTTATTGCGGGACTGTCGCTAGCATTCGGACACTGGGGGGGAACTGACTAACTGCCACTGACATCCCCAGTGACACTAATACAGCGATCAGTGCTAATAAAAAGCACTGACACTGTACTAATGGCACTGGGCAGGAAGGGGTTAACATGTGGGGTGATAAAAGAGTTAACTGTGTGCTGTGTGAGTTTTACATAGTGTGCTGTGTTTTTTACTGTGTAGACAAGCTGCTTTGTTTTGCTCTGCTGTGCAGAGCAATACAAAGCAGCCTGTTCATGCTGACAGGGAGAGATCTGTGTTGTTTACATATAGACCTCTCCCCTGTCAGCTCTGCCAACGATCACCGAGTCCAGGCCGGGACCCGGTGATTGACATGCCGAGGAGCCATTAGTGCCACGGGTAGGGAGCGTGCATGCCCCCTACCCAGAAATACAAAATCATGTATATTGACATGATTTTGTGCATCCCTGCTGCCCTGTAGCATTACTTCTGCTATAGAGCAGCCAGGAAGCGGCATTGGGTAAATGAAATATTAATTTATATTCAGTTAAATCCCATTTCATGCCATCTCTATGTTCCCATGCAATGGGGCTGCCCCCGCACTGTAAGAGTTAAATGCTTGTTTATTTCTAGGGGGCCTCAAAAAGCACTTTGTTGACACTAGCTCTGGTCTTGAAGTGTGATCCACATTCAGATGGCTCTTCAGAAAGCATTTGACAGGCAGTAAGGTGGCAATACAACGCCTCCTCACCTCCTGCTTTAACCTCTTAAACTCCACACTAGTGTGCATTGAAGACAAGCCCCACTCACTTGTAGCTCCCTCAAAAGTGACACGGGTTATAATTCCTGCCAGAGCCTCAAAGCAAAGCATCATGGGAGCAGCATGTGTACACCTCAGGCTGGTGCTTCTGCAGCTAAAAGGGGAGCAGTTGGCCTCCCAACCTCAGGGTTTTACAGCCCCTAAATTGCTTGTATGAATAAGCCCTTACTCCCCCAGCAGCCAGCCATACCTTCTCTGCCCCTATGTTCAGGCAGTGGACTGTCCCTCAGCATCCTCACTTCCATTGCAGGGGTATGGGCCCTGCATTGGACTTGATGTCAAAGGACATCAGAGAAGCATTGGGTAGAAGAGGTTTCAAAGACTGATCTTACAACCCAGTGGATCCTGCAGGAGTAGAGAATCAGGTAAGCAAAAGTGCTTTTTTCAGTGCCTTAGACATAAACAAGCATTACCCTTGCTGTGTGGGGGCAGCCCCACAGCAAAGGAGCTTTCGTGTTTTCCCTGGAGATCAGTTTTAAAGGTCTGCATATGTGTATGGAAAATAACTCATAACCTGGTCAGAAATGTAGCCTAGTGCACAAAGCCCACTTACCCCAACCTTAGCCAATCACAAAAGCTTATTTTAAACCCATCAAACAAGAAATGCTTACACATTTTATACATCTATTGCATTGTGGTTTCAAGGTATCCTGACCTTACATTATATAGTAAATTTCAGTAAACCACTGTACAATACAATTTTAGGTTTTAAATGTGATACCATTCATTTCTATGGAAGGAGCATTTTCATGAAAAATGCATCAAGAATGTAGCAAGCAAAGGTTTTATAACACAAATCGAGGTATGAAATGGCTTTTATTGTGCTAGTATGGCACCTCAAAGGGTCCATAAACCTAAAATAAAAAAGCTTTTATAATGTGGTTTCTAAGAACATTCACAAATATTGATCAACATATTCACATGTGCAGAAAAAGTAAGATTTTTGACATGTCTATCTATTTTAAAATTAACTTATATAGTATAACCCAGAGCTGTTTTAAGTCTAGGCCACTCTCTGAAATGGGTTCTGCTGAGACAAACTGGTTCTTAAAGTAGGAACTTCCATAAATACAATTGTACGTTTCTTTTTGGGAGAGACAGAGGGGACTCCCCTTCTACAGTGAGAGGTCACCGCAGCATCCCAGAGACTGATGTGAGGGCTATTCACCCATTGCTGATACTGTTAGCAGGGACTGAGCCACTGACAGCAGGACACCAAACAAACCCAATCCATACCGCATCCATACTGTACTATATACTGCCCCTAATCCTGGATATGTGCATTTTAGTTTTGTTCCAAATCGAAATTCAGACAAATTTTCCATTATTCGGAATTTTGGATGTATCCAAATTCCGAATTACAATAGTAACAAATTTAAACGAATCTGAAATAAGGAAACAAAATTTGGCCAAATTTCAAATTGATTTAATTCGAAAACACATTCGAAAACAAATTCAAAACCATTTTGAATTTGAAAACAAGAATAGAATAAAATAGAACAGAAAAGAAATACAAAAGAATAGAAGAAAAAAATAGAAAATAAAAGAATAGAACAGAATAGAGTAGAAAAAATAATAGAGTAAAACAGAACAAAATAGAAAAGAAAATGAAGGAATAGAAAATAATAGAATCCATTAGAATAGAATAGAAAAACAAAGAATAGAACAGAAAAGAATAGAAACAATTATAATAGAATAGAGAAAAAAAGATTAGAATAGAATAGAAAATCAAAGAATTGAATAGAAAATAATAGAGTAAAACTGAACAAAATAGAACAGACACTAAAGGAATGGAATAGAATCAATTAGAATAGAAAAGATTAGAATAGAGAATCAAGGAATATAATAGAAGAGTATAGAAAAACAACAGAATAGCATAAAATAGAAAGAATATAACTGCCTTCTGAAATTCGAATTTTGAATACAATGACATTTAATTCAAACAGAATACATTAGAATAGAAAAGATTAGAATAGATTAGAAAAGACTAAAATACTTTACAAAAAATTATTGTGAGCTGCACTATGGTGACGTGAGTAGTGATCAACAAAGGCACTTTGAAAATTTTGGTTAAATCTCCAATATGGTCATGCAGCTCTTCATATAGCCCATATACCATCAAAAGGCATGGATTGTGAATTATGGATTGTACCATTAGAATTAATTTTGACTCCGTTAATTGTTTTCGAATCCGTTAGAAATGTTTTCTAATTGGTTGGAATTATTTTCAAATTCGAAATAAACAAATTCTGAATGAATTAAACGAATTTAACTGATCGAACGAAAAGAAATTAGTAAAATAACGAATTGAAACAAAACAAAACACATTTTTTTCATTTTGCACGTCTACTTATTCAAAACCTAGACTGCACCTATGCCAACCTTATACTGCACTATACCAAACCTTTACTGCAAATGAACCAAATCTACTTTGCACCTGTTCCAAGACTATATTGTACCTATACTGCATGCAGGTTAACTTGAACTGTTGTGCACTGATGCTCCTAAAGGACCCCAAAGATAGCTGGCAGAAGAACATCTAAAAGGACTGCCCCTCCCATAATAATTATTGCACAAGCTCCTCTTGTTCCCCTGCCCCCTTCCCTAGCATCCTCATTTTCTTTTGGACAATCAGGAGCAGACTGACAACTCATGGGGCCCCCGGGCAATAGGGGATCATGGGGCCCCTGTGTCTTTGCCAAAACTCATAAAAGCCTATGAAAAAGGTACCAAGGGCATCTCATGGGGCCCCCTACTGACCCCGGGCCCTCGGGCAGTGCCCGAGTTTCCAAATGGTCAGTCCGCCCCTGTGGACAATGCATACCCAGTCAGTCTAGGACTAGCTTCACTGCCATAAATGCTCTCTGACAGGATAGTTCCAGCACTCAGTAGATTCACTTTACTATTGCTCACTGCTGCACTTGATGTGGCCTTGCCCCTGTTTATGCTGATCTGGACTTCAAGGGGTTTATTTACTAAAGCTGGAGAGTCCAAAGTCAGACTCTCTTCTGCATAGAAACCAATCAGCTTCTAACCTCAGCTTGTTCAATGAAGCTTTGGCAATGAAACCTGGAAGCTGATTGGTTTCTATGCAGAAGTGAGTCTGATTTTGCACTCTCCAGCTTTAGTAAATAAACCCCCAAGTGTCATCTTATGCCTAGTCCCTACTGTTAATCACTTTGTATGCTAAATTGTGTTATTACCATTGTTAATCCATTTTATGCTTGCTTAGTTACCAATCATATAGGGTGAAAATATATTACGTTTCCCTTTGCTACCTGGTTTGGTTTTGGTTTTATTTGATATAGCACTACTATTGGATACATGATTTTGTCTTGTATGTCTAGGCAATCACTATGGGAGAGGAGGCTGTTCATTTTTTAATGTCTTAGATCATTTTTTCTCAACCTATTTTTACTACAGAGAAAAGGCTGTCTTAGATAATGATTTCATGAGCTCCAGAAGTATCTGCACTGATGATTTAAAGTAATTTCTCAGTAGCTGTAAATATTCACTAACAGCAGCATGTAGAAGTCCACTGTTGTATTGAGCTACATTATCTACAGTGGATAGCTCTTTCAAGCTTTAAGTAGACTAAAGTAACTGAAAGACTTTCAGAGGTTTTACAAATGTAAAAAGTCTTCCACTAAGTACTTTATCCAAAACAAAAACCATTAAAGATATCAATTCACACACAAAATATTGATTTTTGCATTTTATGGTTTACCTAGAGGTCTCTTCTGAAGTTGCAGTTACTAAAATAATTGTATAAAATAAGCAAAGACATTTACCTCCTCACTGCCTGCACGGTCAAACCTCTGTAGCCAAGAGAATCTGAAAAATCTAAACTTTATGAATGGGTACTTGGTTCCCTGCTGCACTTGGGTGGTTTTACCCTTCGACCTATACATTACCAGTATGCCCTGCATTAGTGTAGAGGCCAGTGGGAGGAATCTAATCATACAGCATTGGACCAAGTAATTGACACTACTGGAAGTGTCAGATTGTTCAGCTAGAGGTTTTTCCTCACTACTTGGGTGGCACTGGCAGTGGGAGTAAGTATTTTCATGTTTTCTTTACTAGGAACGTAGGCTTATTTTAGCAATAGTGCCATTTCAAGACACCTTTAGGAGCTGTAATTACAAAAAAACGTGGGATTTTGATGAAAGATTCTCTTTTATGTGGGACTAATAATAGAATCCTGTGAACATAGACTTTTCCCCATTCTTGGGCCAGGTCATTGCATTGCTTCAAGAAATTAAATTTTGAAAGTGGTTATCCAGTACTGTACTTTACTTGATTACACAGAAAACGTCTAACCATAGACATTTAAAGGATAAATCCACCTTTGAAACATGTTACATTTTCCACGCATTTTTTATGGTGGAACGTGTAACATGTTCCCATATCCGCACCCGCCACCCCCTCCCTTTGACAGATAGTACGGGGAGAGGTTTCCCTGTACTATCTGTCAGATTTGAAAGCAGTGTGGCCGTACGGGGCTCCACCCACACGGCCACGTCACTCATTCACAGAGTTCTGTGAATGAGTACCTACAAGTCCCGACAGCCTTAGCGGCTTGTAGTTTTCCAAGAACTAACACAGTGCTGTGGATTGCCTTGGTAGTTCATTGAAGCTTCCTGTCAGTATATCTACTTGCCCGTACATACCATACGACAAGCAGATTTTCTGATAGGTCTGCAGGAGACCTGCATGTCATCAGCGATCTACTGATCACTGGTGCAATGCTTTCCAGGCTCCTTTGGACAAAAATAATAAAAGCACATTTTTTTTACCTGCATTTATCATTTTTGTCCAAAAGGTGAACTTATCCTTTAAAGTTGACCTCCAATCAGCTAAATACACCTATATAGCACATATATATAGGAGCTGTTTATTCTGCCAAAGCATCTATTTTTCTGTCCATGCACTCCTTAAATTGACACAGCTCCACCACACCATACAGCCCTGCTTGCCAGGTTTTACTTTTCTGAAATTAAGGAACACTTATAGGTTTTGTACTTCCCTCACCCTGTGATTATACAATGAATGGACAAGTAACACTGATGAGCTTGTCTGTCACTTTTTTCTCTCCTCTTAAAACATGAGAACTGCACCACTACTTGTGCTCCTCCTCCTTGTGCTTCTTCTATCTCAGAGTCCAAACTCAAATGTACAGAGATTGCAGGCTGGTACTAAGTAAAACTCAGGTACTTATACTGCTTGAATTTGAAAAATCTCATTGCATATGAATGAATAACTAGCTTCAGTAATGTGCATATTTTATATCTACATTATTTGGAGTTCAGCTTTAAAATGTAATCCCAACCTTGCCTGCATTATAGTCATGCCATTCTAGGACAGGTAGCACTGTAGATTTGCCATGCCCCTTCTTTGTTCCTTTATTCTCCTCGAGGCACACTGCTAACAGACTGCTTCCTCATGGTAGAAAGTCTTCTACGAAAATTTTCCCCTGCAAAGAAATACAGCAATGGATCAAAGCAACAATTGGAGGCAGCAAGGGCCAAGCAAATGATAACCTTCTTCTGGTGCGCTGTCATTCATAGCAGAACCATTTTTAACAGTGTGAAGGTGAAGAGTCCGCTGGATGTGATAAGGCATAAAGCTTATAAAGAAGACAATCAGAACTATGATGATCATTCGAATGGCCTTCTTCCTGGACGACTTCTGTTTGTTCAAGGAATTCTTCATCAAGGTCCTAATGATCATAGTATAACAAACCAAAATGATGATAAATGGAACGATGAAGCCAAAAGTGAGTGAGATATAGTTGAGGATGAGCACTTTTTCCACCGAAGTATTATTTTGGGAAAGCTCAAAACATTTTGTTACATTTGTATTTGAGTCAAACTCTGATCCATTCATTAAAAAAGGAGAGGTTATTAATGTGACAAATAGCCATATTCCAACACAAACCCACTTGGCTCTGGTTACTGAGATAAATCGAAGATTTTTCACAGGGTAGACTATAGCCAGAAAACGAGTGAAGCTCATAGCTGTCAGGATGAAGATACTGCAATACAAGTTGACGTAGAAGGAGTAGGAGCTAATACGACAGAAAAAGTCTCCAAAAATCCAGTTGCCTCGTTTGATATAGTAGACTACTCGGAAGGGAAGAGTGCAGATGAAAAGCAAATCAGAGATAGCAAGGTTGAGCATGTAAATGTGAAAAGCTGTTCTCTGTTTGTAGGTCTTTATCAGGACGAATAGTGCAAAACAGTTCCCTACTAGGCCAAAAACCGTAAACATTGAGTATGCAGTGGAGTAAACCTGGTTACGGAATTCATCAATATTTTCTTTTGTGTCCCACATGATTTCATTTGAAGCAGTAGTAGTTAAATTCTGGGAAAACAAAGAGCTACATTAGTGAAAAAACAGCTTTGCTTAATAAATTTCATAATATCACAGTTATATAAATTATATTTGTTTTACAAATCCATTTTTTTCAAGGTGGAAGCTGTCCTGGTTATTAAAGTGATACTAAAGGCAATGTAAAAGAAATAAAAAAAAAAAAGCAAACATGCCATACTTACCTGCTCTATGCAGGATTTTTGCACAGAGTAGCTCTGATCCTTCTCTTCTCGGGTCCCCCACCGGCACTCCTGGCCCCTCCCTCCTGCCGAGTACCCCCAGAGCAAGGCTCTTGCAGGATTGCTCTTGAGCCACTGCTCTGCATGTCCATTCAAATACAGAACTGTGGCTTTACCCCGCCACCCTCTCTCTCTCTCCTCATTGGCACACTGGCTGTGAATGACAGCAGTGGGAGCCAAGTCCCACTGCTGTCTCAGCCAATGAGGAGGGTGAGTCCATGGAGAGCCGAGGATTTTGTGCACATCACTGGATTGCGATAAGTCTCAGTTAAGTATTGGGGGGGAGGGGGGGGGGGTTGCTGCACACAAAGTTTTTTACCTTCATGCATAGAATGCATGAAGCTAAAAAAACCTTGACCCTTAACAACCACTTTAAGGTTTCAGCTGTGATCAAAGAATACTTGTTTTTTTTGCTCTGGAACATTGGGTGAACTGTGATGCGTATATTAGCCAAAGGAAACTGTTGTTGAAAGTCTGTCATATGAATTTGTTTTAATTAGTTGGCCCATGGGATTCTGGTTCTATCATTGCACCATTAATCAATCTAAAGCCTTTATCTATATTAAATTATTTGGAACTCTTTCCAATACAAATTATACATAACAAAAACTTTAAACTTTTACATCTCAATTTGGATGGAGAAGGATGATAGCCTCTGCCATTTTTTTTTCATTTATTTATTGTTTTTGCTGCTGTCTATGTACCTTAGGGAAATTTTCCCTTAATTCCTGGCAGGACAGGGTGTGATACCATGGACAAACAATATACTTTCCTTTAACACATAATATTAATGGAAATGCTAATACTAATATAAAAAGTCTGCAGATGTAAAGAGCCAGTTGTACATCATCAGGGTATGAGAGAGTTATATTTGTGTTTTTATGTAGTTTTACTATATAAATAAATGGTACACTATTTTAATCATAAGAACACCCTGGCATTGATACATTTATGTTACTTTGTTATTATATTGTGATATTGTAAAGCAGCCTTTTTCAACCAAGGTGCTCAGGCACCCTGGGGTGCCTTGAAGTTTCTTTAGGGGTGCCTTGGCACAATGCCTACAAATTGCACAAAAGTTGTATACAAGCCAGTAGGTGGATCAAGCCTGCCTTTTAGTTACACAAAGCCATAGGTTTTCATTGTGCACAATTACAACCTTCTAGCCAGAGATATCCTAGCAACCATGATGCCAAAATGTGATATGGAGGATGTAGGTCACCTGTGCGGCATTCTTGTTTGACCTTGCTCCTCTCTGTCAGTAATAGGGTCAAATTAGCTAGGTGATAGGAGAGAAACTGAGGGAGAAGAAAAAAATTGGAATACTATTCAGTATCTGTGTGCAAAAGTGTATATGCTTTGGAAGAATAAATCCCCTCTATCATTGGATGGCTTACATGTGTGGATATTGCTGCGTTAGGTAAAAGTATTAGAATAGTTTTTTACATTTTAGAATGAGGTGCCTTGAGACCGTCCATAATTTTAACGGGTGCCTCTAGATTGTACATAACTTTAAACGGGTGCCTTGACTGAAAACAATTTGAGAAACATTGTTGTAAAGAGTGAAACCTTTGAATGTTGAAGCCTCTTCAATGCTTTTAATGCTAGCTGGCTGATATTAGCCAGTTTTTTAGAGGTTGAATGAAGCACTAAATGGATGGATGACTGCAGTCGTTGGCTGATGAGATGTTCCTTATAGAAATTATGTGAGAAGTGTATCTTTATATCACTTTTGTGAGAACAATATATTTATTTTAACCAATTAAAGATTTTCTGAGGATGTTACACTATGCCAGTGTTCTCTCTGTTTCATTTACAGTAAGCTTGGATTTGTTGAATCAAAAGTAATCACAATCTATACTTCTAGGCTTCACTGTGTAGATTTACTTTTTTCTTCTTGTTTAAAGATCTAGATATTAAATATGGAATATTACATTTTTAGTAGAGTACAGAAGGGTTAGAACTTCAGACAAGGTTTTTATTGCTTTGACAATGGCAATACCCATCACCCTTTTCTTGCATGGGAATCCTGATAGCATCACACAGCAGGTACAGAACTAGAAGATTCTGCATCTTGAAACAAGCAAAAAACAGGTATAGGAATACAAGCCCTAGCATTCACCAGGTGGCTTTGTGTTGCTTAGGAGTTGAGTAGACTTCAGATGTTGTCCCAAGCATAGCTGCTTCTATAAATCTGCAGACAGGGCCCTATAGCTTAGGCTCATATCTGCCCCTTACAGGCAAAAGTCTGCTTGTCCTAGTATTCTGTAGCAAAGACTTTTTTCCTTTTTTATCACTGAAGCAAACTTGTATTCAGACTTATTTCCTAAGTGCAGGTCTGTTATATCATGGCTGGTGCTGGGGTGTCTGCCTATATGCTTAGGTACAGGTTAGAAAAGAAACTTTTCCAGACTCCCTGTGAGGGCACAGGGATTTATAGTTCAGTGGGGCAGATTAGTTAACTGATTTACATGTAACATGTTATATGGAGGTTATCGATTTATCTTTATGCCCAGCTAATCTATTTTACATGTACAAAATACAGTTGTATCTCAACTGGTAGTACCCAGTTTCTCTTAAACCAGCTGGGTTCCTTCTTGAGAAAAGGCAGAAACAAAAAAAAAACCCCCCAAAATCAATTATATCTGACATGTCACCCCCTCTTTTTCTGCTATCAGCACTCCTGTCAATGTTTCTAGATGTTATAGTTGCTCATACCTCTCATTGCTCCTGGGTTCTTATGTCATATCTTTGTTGATCCTGTGTTGCGCATTACAAAAGTAAATCTGGTTTCCCATACTGCAGCTTATCCAGTACTCCCCAAGCAGACAATTCTGATGGAATTAGTTGCTCATAAGACTAATGTAGTACCCTCCTAATCAGCTCGGGGGAGCTAGACTCTAATTGTTAGATAGAAAGGCTGAGTAGCAGTCTGGGTGTGATAGCTAGCAGAGTCAAATTACGATCACAGCTGAGAAGCTCTGCAGACTAGCTCTCTGGGATTTCCCCCTGCTCTAGAACTTTGGAGAAAGACCTAGCAGCAGTTGGAAGAGGTGAGGAGTGGCTGTTCTGTACTCTTAGAGGACCTTGCCAATCCCCAACAGGAGGCTTGGAAAGGGGCCAGGACAGCCGTTAAGAGTAACTGAGCCTGCTCAGCAGCAGAAGAGGAGGAGGAGAGTTGAAGAGAGTGAGGTTGGAAGATTAGGCTGTGAAGCTGGAAAGCAGGATCCTGGAAGAGGGGCCCAGATGGGAGAGGGGCTCACCTCCAAGCAGGAGGACCTTGGAGAAAGGAAAGCCTGAGACTTCACTGGCCCCCTGAGAGAGGACCACCTGTGTGGCAAAGAAGGAGCGGCCCAGTTATAAGGCCTGGTAGCAGCCACCAACCCAGCAACAACACAGGAGAAGGACTAAGTGGGTAGACCTGCACCCCCTGGGCCAGATAGAGGAAGAAGCACTCTGGTGGGAAACCATAATAGCAACTACTCGTGACTGTCTTACTTTGCAGGGACAGGCACTGGATCCCCTGTTTAGGGATTCACCCAGAACAGCTGGATAAAGGAATATCTAGGGTCTGGGGTGGTACAACCAGAGATGCTGGCTAATTCTCCAAGATGAGGATTTTGCTGAATCTTGTATATATTTCCAGGAAGCTGGCCTTGGTTTCACAGTTCCATTGGGCATCTCGTACACCCCTAACCCCTTCCCAGTTCAAATCCCCTAATAAAACTTCAAAACAAAGCTCAAGGACTGGTTACTGTCTCCCGGATGCAAGTTGATGTGGAAATGTGTGTTGCTTAGCTGTACAGGACTATAGGGGGACCCAAATCTATAGCGACTCCTAAGGGGCTAGTGCTACACTAAGATGAATTGAAAAAAGCACCTTTCCCCTTTTGTAATATTTAAATCCAAAAGGCAAGATTTATTAAAAACTGCACTCACAATGTTAAACCTGTCTTTCTAGCATATTACATAAAAGTGTTATTGCAAAGCTCCATCCTGTGTGGGACTTCCTCCTATATTGAAGCCAATGTGTAGTCAGCAGAGGCACCCATTAAATAAAAAGGTGCTTGCAGGTGGGTTCTTCAGGAAGGTTGGCATTGATTGATCCTAAAAGCATGTTAAAACATCACCAATGTGTTTTGTGGCTCTTTAGTGACCACTTTGTCTGGAAAAGGTGTACAGAACACTTTAGTGTGTGGGATCTGTAGCTCTCTTGGGGCCTTATACTTTTTACCATTGTTCACTGGATCTGATTGCAACTTAGTGCAGTGCAAGAATTTACGGAAAATCCCGAAAAGCATGGAGTGTGACCATCCACATTCGGCATGGAGACCAATCTACATGTGTTTTAAATAGGTTGTTGGAGCTTAGTATAGATATCCAGCAACATTATGAATGTGAGTAAATGCTTACTGCATGTTTTGTCATACTTTTCAAATACAATAACTGAATACTACTTTTTATTCCTCTTTTTCTTCTTGCTTCTGCTCATCTGGAGCACCACTGACTCATTCCTCCTATAATGCCAGGACTGCTGGCTTGCACTAATTATAAAGGAATACTATGGACATAAAAACAACGCGCTCGGCTGCGGATGATGACGTCAGGTTGCAGCTGAAGTTTTGGAAAGATGGCGGCCACGGCACCAGGCCTTAATGTGATGCTCATGTATTGGCCTATACTACGGTTATCCGTGTAAGGAAGAGTGATCTGTACTGGAGGAGGCTATCAGTTATGGTCAGTGGAACCAGAGTGGCCTGGAGAGTTATTACCTGTAGGACCCAGGGAGATCCAAAAGGCGTTTTGACCCTTTTGGGTCGCATCAAGGAGGTGAGGGGGCATGCCCGCCATCTAAGGATTTATGCTCACCATTTGCACCAGCACTGAAGCATTTTTTGAAGATAAAGGCACTACTACACATTTATTGCAATTGCTACAATTTGCTGCATATCTTTCTGGACACTTTTTGATATTGTCTTATGTGTATTTATTGTATGTGGGTATTTTACACCAGTGACTTTATTTGATATATATCCCAATTTTTGGATTCACTTTATATACCACCTAGGGTTTTGGGAGTTTGGTCCCATTTGGGACTGGTTGTTGTCACTTTATAAGGGCCCCTGGATAGGACCAGCTTAATTATTTGCACTTTATGATATTGTGTTTTATCACATTTTCAGACACTTGTTTTAAGATCCAGAAGGATCTATCACATATTTTAGGATATCTGTCTATTAATGTAATTTTTTTGTATTATTTATTGTGTATTTGTACATTTAGCTTTAGCGCTACACCATTTTCTGTATATTTTTTGCCACTTGTCCACATATAGGTAGAGGATTGGGTGTTAGCAGCATATTGTAATTTAGGTTTCCATAGTAGCGCAGGGGGTTCCTTGTCAACACTTGTAACAAGAACTTATCATAAATCAACTGACTACAATGCTTTAGAGCTGAGATTTACCTTCACAAGAGATAGATTTCCAACATTCCAAAAGTACAGTATTACAGACTGAAGTACAATTGCACTGAGCTAGAGGTCTTTCATGAACAGGGGAGAGAAATGGTCAGGAAACTTTATGAAAAAGGTTAAAAAAAGGAAACGATTCAGTAGGTATATAAATTGTCTAAAGATATTAATCCCATTATTACAGATTTTGGTAAGAGAATTGAGGGAATAAATCCATTAAAAAAAAAAAACTGGCACATTTTAAGCTCTGGATTGAAGTGTGGCTTCCTATAGCAATGGTGCAGGCCTGCTGTACTGGCATTATAGGAGGAAGTCCCACTCAGGATGGAGTGTTTCAATAACACTTTTATGTGATATGTAGGAAAGGTAATTTTAATACTGATGGGAATGCTGAGAGCAGGAATAGTGCAGCATAATTGGTAATCTATGAGTTTTTTGTTTACAGACATTAAAGGAGAATTGTAATATCGCTCACCATCTAAAAGGGGGCTGCAATGAATTATTATGAAATACTTTTCATGAATGTAGTACATTGGTGCACATACAGGCAGGGGCAGGTGCTAAACTATTTTTTGCCCTAGGCAAGACAAGCTACTTGCACCCCCTCTCCTCTCTGGTAGGCATATTATGAATTTCCTTCTCTCCTCTCCTCTAGGTATATTATAAGTATCTCTCTCTCCTCCTCCCTGTGGCAAGTTCTTCTCCCTCTAAGTGCAGAGTTATACACAGGAGGATGCAGCCCAACTTCTCCAGGGATGAGGGGTGGATGCCACCAGCCGGGTACCTGCACTGTCAGTGCTCGCCATCCTCCTCTCCACTCCCCTCCAGTAAAGAGGCTGGGCAGATCGGCAATGCTCCTGATGAGTGTCCTGGGACTGGGGGCCAGGGAGCTCCAGGGGGCTGTGTGTTCCCTGGAGCTCTGTGTATAGCTGGCTGCTACAGGATCTGGACCATGCTCTCTTCTGTTCCCCACTTCTCTAAGCTGGTCTACCTGCTGAATGGGGGCAAGGTCAGGAGAGTCGCGGCCAGAAGGGGGCTCCAATCACATAAGGGTAGGGCGCACTGACAGGAGGTGAAAACACGATTGGGGACTGGAAAACAGACCAGGGATGGGGCGGTTCTGTGCCCAGGGTGGGATTGTTCACTAGCAGCATGATCTCCATCCTACTGAGACTAGCTGTTTGTGCAGCAGTGCATTGACCGCAGTGGGAAGCCAGTGCAGTGTTAGGAAGCCAGCAGAGAGTGGGAAAACAATGGCCATGGCTGCGAGCCCTAGGCAGCTGCCTAGTTTGCCTAGTGGTAGTGCCGACCCTGCATACTGGGGAGTCTTTGGAGTGGAGTGACCACTGCAATACAATTGTATTTTATGTTGGAGTGATGTAGTTTACACTTTTAGGAGATACAATTAAGCAATCTTCTGGAGACAATTGAAGCTGCAATACTTTTTTTTTTATTATAAACATATACAGTATATCCACATTACTGAAAAGACTATACATTCCCTTTAAGAAATGCAATGTGGTAAATGATCGACTTTGTGATTCTATGTGAACATGTTTACCAATTCTTATAATTTCATTAGATATTATTCAGCTAGATATGCTTGGCCACAGATACTTATTATATTTAGTTTGGCACAGGATACATTTATGACTTTATTTTATATATAGCAATATTTCCTTTGTACAATCAGCTTTGGATCTGGTAACTAAGGTGACAAAATCACACCCTAAAAGTGCCATTTAAGTAAATGTTTGGTGTAGTCTGTTTTTATTCCAGGTCAGTGAAGTGATGGCATAAGGAGAACGTGCCTTTACAACTGGAAATGGGGATGAAATGGTAAGGGGACCTCCTTCAGTAAATCTTTACAGGACAAATCAACTAAACAGCTGTTTTAGTGATGTTACTGGCAGTACTGTCTAAATCATATGATTGAATGGAGAGACAAAGTTTTGCTGAAAAGATTGCATAAACTTGGAGAATTGGTTATAGTATGTACAATTTTTAAAGAAAACATGAGTGAGCAGGCAAAATAAATTTATTTTATTTCTTATGGGATTCATATTTAAGTATAGGTCATAACAGATTGGCACAATCATAAAACAAAACATGGCAACAAGTAAAAAAAATATAGTGGCCCCCTGTTCAAAAGTCTGCATACACTTAGTTCTTAATGCCGTGTATTGTGCACAATTAACTACCTGCTGACCGCAGATAGCCGAATGACGGCTTCACTGCGGCCGGCCAGTTCTGAGTGGACGTCATATGACGTCCCCCCAGAACGCGCTCTCCTGCGCGCCCCAGGGGGCGCGCACTCGGCGATCTCCGTGATCGCTGTGTCCTACGGACACAGCTGATCACGTGATGTGGTAAAAGGCCAATCACAGCGGCCTTTTACCACCTGATCAGCGGTGTCCAATGCCACGCTGATCAGAGGGAAATGCAAGTGCCGGTTCTCGGCTGCACTTTCCTCACGCTGTCAGATCGTGAGGAAAGTACTGCCGAGAACCGGCAGTTGTCAGAGCGGGGATCAGCACCGATCATCAGAGCACTGATGATCAGTGCCCTGATGATCGGTGCCCAGCAGTGCCACCCGCAAGTTCCGCCCACCTGTGCCCAGCAGTGCACCCACTAGCTCCGCCCACCTGTGCCCAGCAGATCATCCACCTGTGCCCAGCAGTGCACCCACCTGTGCCACTCTGCAGTGCCACCTACCTGTGCCACTCTGCAGTGCCACCTACCTGTGCCCAGAAGTGCTACCCACCTGTGCCCAGCAGTGCCACCCACCTGTGCCCACCCACCTGTGCCCACCAGTGCCACCCACCTGTGCCACCTACCTGTGCCCACCCACCAGTGCTGCCCACCAGTGCCACCCACCAGTGCAGCCCAGCAGCGCTGCCAGTCAGTGCCACCAGTCAGTGCCCAGGGGTTGTGCCAGTCAGTGCCGCCAGTCAGTGCCGTCTATCAGTACCCATCATCAGTGTCACCTATCAGTGCCGCCTATCAGTGCTGCATATTAGTGCCGCCTATCCGTGACACCTCATTAGTGCTGTCTATCAGTGCCACCTCATTAGTACTGCCTATCAGTGCCCTTTAGTGCTGCCTATCAGTGCCCATCAGTGCTGCCTCATCAACGCACATCAGTGAAGGAGAAAAAATGCCTGTTTGAAAAATTTTATAATAGAAACAAAGAAACTTTTTTTTTTTCACATTTTTTGCACTTTTTTTATTTATAGCGCAAAAAGTAAAGCGCCTAGTGGCGATTAAATACCACCAAAAGAACGCTCTATTTGTGAGAAAAAAATGATCAAAATTTCATATGGGTACAATGTTGCATGACTGTGCAATTGTCAATCAAAGTGCGGCAGCGCTGAAAGCTGAAAATTGGCCTGGTAAAAAAGGGGGTATAAGTGCCTGGTAGGCAAGTGGTTAAAGAGTGCACTCTTTTCTAATAGTTGTCTATGAGGCCCCAAATTCTTACAGGTGGTATAGCTGCCTATTCGTCTTGAGCTAATGCCTCCAGGCCATACAAAGTCTTTGGTCATCTTGCATGAACCATGTGTTTGAGATCTCCCCAGAGCAGCCCCTATTAGGGTTAGTAGACTGTGATGGCCAGAACCTTCATCTTTTTCTGCTGTAACCACTGGAGGGTCAACTTGGCCATGTGCTTGTAGGGATAATATATACATACATATATATATATATATATATATATATATATATATATATATATATATATTTATTTATTTATTTTTTTCTAAACAGAAAATTGGATTGCTGCACACAAAACATTTTTATTGTTGAAAAATCACCATACAAAAGGGTGATCAAAAAAAATGGACAAAGCCATAACATCATAGTGTTATCAACAAATAGTTTCGGGCTATTATGTTAATGCTCATCTATATTACTGCCATATATATATATATATATATATATATATATATATATATATATATATATATATAAAATATACTGTATATAGATAGATATTGAAACACATACTGTTCATTCTTGGAGAAGCCAGTGACCTGACCACTGTACACATCAAAAGAACTCTTTGCAATGTTAATTTTTTGCAAGGCCACCTTGGTATTTGGGGAATAGCCTGTTTATCTAATTAGACATTTCAAAGGTTACATGTTTAAGGATGATAAAGAATGTGACTTCACTATACAAGAAGTATTTATTGATGGTAATTAGACTGGAGGGGGTATTATATGGTGAAAAGGATGACTTGACTACCTAGTGACGTGAATTGTTATCTATAGTATTGACAAGTGAATTCTTTTCATATAAGATCAAAAGTGTTTTGTCAGAAGTTATTTTGGCTGGGAGAGGAGCTTCTTCCTTTCATTAATATGGAAGCACAGGTATAGAACATAACTCACATTATTGCATGCATGGAAACTACCTAGGTGCATATTATAGATTGGACATATGCTGGACAGTGTAGTGTCTCCATGCTTGATATGAAGTATCTTAAATGGGACTCTGAGGGCTGTTATTCATTGTAATATTTACAAGTATTCAGCTGGATTTCTGTCATCTGTTGCAAATATCTTTATCCGAATAAATGCATCACTCTGGAAAAGAACGGTTGAACTAGTTGCTACCTTACCTTGGCTTAGTATCAACAGATTCCTGAATTTTCCACTTCCTTATAAGTGATTGAACAGTACTGACTGGTGTATTCTAGACTTTGGATATCTTTTTATATCTTTTACAATCTTTATAAAGTTCCATTACCTTGTTACACAGGTCTTTTGACAGTTCTTTTCTGTTCCCCGTGGGTCCGTATCTAGCCTGCTCAGTGCATCAGTATGAGAGCTAACAAACTCATTTACTATTTATACACAGACACGAATTGTAATTTTAAAAAGCCACAGGTGTGGGAAATTACCTTGAATTGCCATTTTAACCTGTGTCACATTGTGTATCTGTATCAAGGCAAAACATTCCAGGGTATGTCAACCTTTGATCATGGCCATTTGGGTGATTTCTGTTATCATTATGATTTAAAAAAGGAGCCAAACAACTATGTGATAATAAATGGCTTCATGTGATCACTATACTTTAAAAAAAAGACAGTTTTTTGGCATGATCAGTCATATTTTCAATATCAATGCCAAAAATTCATGATTTCTCGCCAGTGTATGGAAATGTTTGAGCACAACTGTACAAATCCTTTAGCAGGTAAAACAGCTCCAGTAATTGTAGGGATATGTTCCCCATCAGCCTTGCTGTGTTTTATTATTATTTATTACAGGTACTTATATAGCGCCTTCAATTTACGCAGCGCTTTACATATATATTGTACAGTCACATCAGTCTCTAACCATCAAGGGGTGTACAATCTAAGGTCCCTAACTCACATTCATACATACACATACTAGGGAAAATTTACACAGGATCCAATGAACCTACCAGCATGTCTTTGGAGTGTTGGAGGAAACCGAATTACCCGGAGGAAACCCACGCAGGTACAGGGAGAACATGCAAACTCCAGGCAGGTGGTGCCATGGCTGGGATTCGAACCAACGACCTAGTACTGCCAGGCAGAAGTGCTAACCATTTAGCCATTGTGCTGCCCCACAGTTTTGGTTTACTTTTCTTGTACAGTATTGCACCCAGGGGGTGATCTGTATCAAATCATCTCCCAATCACTCTCTTCAGGAGGCTCCAGATTCTTATGTTAGGGGTAGATACAGAGCGTCCCATCTGTTTTGTCTGCTAGTCAACCCTTGGTGAGCTGCTCATCAGTTGGTTGGATTAGGTTTTGACAAAACAGGAAGGCAATGTTTTAGACAAGTCATTTTTTTTCCTCCTCCCTTAGGAGAACAGAGATGTCCTTGCCAAGGGGGCTTATCCTGATGAGAATGTGTCTGGTATGAAGCCCCAGGGCTGGAGCCCAAGTGTAGAGAGTATCACCATGTTGACCTAAGGATTTTCAGCTAGAGTCATTGCTGGAACAGAGATACTGTATACCCAAACTTCTTGCTTGTGGCTGTTGCTCTCTAATAGTTCTATGTGATGCTTCTGGATGCTAAGACACAACAATCTCTAGCCAAGAAGTTATAGGAGCCTCATGTGAGTTTCTGTTATTCCACCTCCATTGTCATCAAATTTTACCAAGTTCACATTATGTTTTACAAACTCTTTTCAAGTTTTGACATCTTCGTTCCAGGCTAAGTAAGCATGATCTATCCTGAGAACTAGGAATGTCCTGTGGAGAAGTCCCTCTTCTATTCAAAACCCCTATAGATGAATGCAGAAGAATGTAAGAACATAAGAACATAAGAACTGTAAACTCCCATTTCATAGTGACTTAGATCTAATGGCTGTGAGATAGGGGGTCAAATTACATGATACCCCTTCCCAGAATATTGTTACATTTCTATAGATTACATCTGGGTTTTTTTTGTCTGTTTTCTTTGAGTTCAGTTTTACAGTGTACCTACCCTTCCTTCCTAAAGCGTTCATAAGAAGTACCCAAAGGTGTCTACTGGTGTCATTGTAGTATTATGTTAATGAGTGTATATAATATTTACCTGGTTAGTCAGCTGCATCATATGATTAGGGGGTAGAGATCTGTCAAACATTAGGTCTTCTGGTTCTGTCACCAGTGTAATCCACTTCTGGTCACTAAATGGATTCCTAAAAATCAAAAACACACTTTTTTAGCTTTTCTTAATGGATCAATACAAAACATATATTATACATTATATTATTTTACAAAAATATCATTTTCAATATCCATGTGAAATTAAACTAAATCAGTTAGGTGCAGATCTTCTGCATGGGAAAATACAGAACTGGAGGCATGTTTAAACCCCATTGTACTGGCATAGAGAGTCCAAGAAACCTGAAATCTCTCTCCAATATAAGAATATTTTTAGGCTGTGGAGTTTCTGAAATGTTTAGTTTGTGCCTGGAAACAAATTGTTTTAGCAATGTTTATTGCAAGAAAACATTATCTTGCAAAATAGCATTTATAAAATATACAGTGCCTTTATACAACTATGTTTGTTGTTCACTTAACCTTCAGCTGTGGAAAAATAATGGAAAAAAAATGTGTTATATTCCACCAAAAAATAGGAAGGTAAAAGTCAGTAATTCTAATATTTATCAAACTAAAAGTATCTACAGATCCCCCCTTGGAAACATTCAAACAGTCCAGTCAGTTATGAGAGAAAATGGAGAGAGAGGTGTTTAGCTGGAATTTTTGCCAAGTACCAACCTCCTCTTTTCATAGACACAATCACTTGTTACTTCACTAAAGGAAATATGTGGGGTCTCCCTATGTACTGTAAATACGAGTAAACAATGACCTGAAGTGTGGAAGCTGTACCCAAAAAAGTAAGCAGAAGAGAAAAAATATAAAAAATTTTTGTTGGATCATGTGATATACTGTGAACATGGTGAGCTCTTAAGGGCAACTCAGTATAACCCAGCTTGGACACCATTTTGTTGAACCATGTGAGATGTTGTGGATATGTGATTGGTTGGCACTCTTGACCGCTCTCAAGACTTTTATTGGATTTTCTGTAAACCCTATCTGGGTACTTGTTGAAGGCTCTTACATACTGAACTGGTATATCTGTAACCTCGGTCCAGCTTACCTCCAGGTGTTGGTCTCTTCACGGGCTGGAAGGCCTCATTTGGGCTCGCCCTTTATTTGAATATTGCCATACATTTTGGTTGCATCTTGGTTTATTAGATCCAGCTAGGCTCAAGTGACTGTTCCAATTTCAAATTGAAATCAAAGGCCCTTAAGAATCGGCCTTTCCACAAGTGATGAGTGATCTCTGAGTACTCTACAATCTAAGTTCTCTTGCTACAAGACAAGCAGTAGCATTTGAGTCTGTTTACATATGTAATTTATGTTATATTTGTATGACTTTTTTTAATGTACAAAAATAAAGATTTTTCATTTTAAATTATTTCTTTATCACTAACCT